TCAAGTTTCGACCCTTCGTGGCCTACTAGTGCGTCTTCCTGGTTAGTCTCCGATCCACCAGGAATCAGATACTTGCTAAACTATCTCCAAGATAAATATAATCCCGGAGAAATAATTATAACTGAAAACGGATGGTCTACAGTTCCGGGGATCTTGAACGATGAGGGCAGACTCAGTTACCTCAAAGTAAATATTTAAAACTTGTATTTTAATACTTTCATTTTAATAAGCATTATAGGGCTATTTAAGCAATATTCTCGACGCTGTAGTAGAGGATGGAATCAATGTTACTGGATACACATTATGGAGTTTACTGGATAACTTTGAGTGGAGTCAAGGATATACGTAAGCATTTGGGCAGCAAGGACACTCAGATATCTGTACTTATGCAGAAATGATTTTAGGCAAAGATTTGGTATCGTGGATGTTGACTTTGAGAGCCCTAACAGAACAAGAACGTACAAGAGTTCTGCCGAATGGTACAAAAGGCTCATCGCAGCACGGCAGATTGTTGATTAATTTGTACGTTTTAACTGAATATATGAGGACGAATGATATTTTATTTATTTTCAACTCTTGAAATACAAATGAATGGTAAACATCTTAAGAATGAGCGATTTGCCAGTCATTACCTTGTGGCCATTAAATTAGAAAACAAAATACTTGAGTCGTCATACCTAAGGAATTTCGAGTTCCTTGTATTGTATGTATCTTACTATATTGCGAAAAATATACAGGGTTTGTGAAGGCGCCTGTACAGCGAATAATATTATACCTTTCAATATATACTTATTTATGCATTCCATGTTTATTTTAAATAGCCTTCTGAGAAATGTTTTAAATGGTTTCATCTAAAAGTGTAAATCAAAAAATTACTTTTTACATCGGAAAATCAAAATGAGATTTTATAACATCTAAACCGGATGAAATGAACTAAAATCTGATACTAGACCATGTCGGGTACTTGAGAAATTTTTCCTTTCACTCTCCAGATTGTTTCTAATTTAGGCAGAATTTTACATTCTGAACCTGTTGTTGTATTATTGCTTTTTCTGACTCTGTAAAACATTTAACATTTATCTTTCGTATATTTTCCCGCTTTTTTATTTTGTAATATTTTAACTAATTAAAGTTTCCATATCTAGATTTTTGTTTTTATATATTCATAATATAGATTACCGCTGAATAATGTTTATTCAGCTTTCCGATTGAAACGGTATGCATATTGCGATATTTTTGGCAATTTTTCTGAAAAATTGCGTTTTGTTTGAAATTCTGCAATACGCAGTATGTTTCCAAATATGTCTGCAAAAGCTAAATAATAATTTATTGCTTTCTAAAAATCAGTTTTCAAATCAGTTTAAGACCTAAAGCTTCTCCTTCTCAAATATCCCTTTTCAAAATTTAGAGTTGACAACTTTATGACTGTAGGGCCAACACTTTTCTCAATTTAGTCGAATCGTGCAGTTTCGGCACCTGAAAAGATAGAATCAAAAGAGAATATAATTGCAAAAACTTTCTAGCCATGCAAAATTATTTTATTTTAAATGCGCTTTTTATTATTTTTCGTTTGGTCGATGTTCAAATTGCGCAGATTTGGCTGGAAATATTTAGTTATATTCACAAGAGTGACAAAAACATCTCTTGATTACGCCTAGTAAGCATTTGTACCAAACAACTTGATTTTTTAGCGTCAAAGATAAACACGTCACAATAAAATGATTTTGAGTTCGGTAAAATCCTTATCAAAAATGTAAGTATCTATTTAAAAGAAAATAAATCTTTTATATTGTACTTTTTAAAATATTTATAATTCTTAATTAAGTCAGGTAACAACATAAAAGTAAATTAGATGAGCAAATTAAGTGTTCAGTATTAGCTTATTTATGTCCAGTTTCTCGGCTTTTCAAATATACACCTTAAATATAGAGAAAAAGTATTTAAAATAAAATTGCACTTTTTTGACTTTGTGGGACTGTAGGTATAATACGGCTTATAATAATCTTAAAATAATCTTCATTTATTTTAGATCAAAAACCATGATACACGGAAAACACTTCCATTTGTCTCTTTCCGGCTTCAGAATACGCCAAAAATACACTTGAATTGATAGATTATAGATAAATAAGGATTGAATATACGTTGGAAATATTTTAAATAAGAAAACAGTTATTCAAAATTTTCGGATCATTTGTAAACGTTCATGTTTTAGTCTTGACCAATCTCAAAATTGTAAAAAATATTACGGCTATTTACCACCACTCTCTACCATGTTATGAACGAATCTACAAAATAAATTTACGCAATATCGAAACTTTAAACTTAAAACCAACGCACCATTTTCTTTCAGATAAAATTCTGAAAATTATGCTACTTACATTCAAATATTTTGTAATTGTACAAAAATATTTGAAAATTCTTGACAAAATCAGTTTAGATGACGAAAAAGTGTTTGCGGATTTAAAGTTTCTCATTTTACTTTGCTTTTGTTTGCATTGCTTATAATATAATAATTCTAGTATTAAAATTGCAACATTAACATTAAACTGCTTATTTAAATGTTATTCAAATGGTTGTACGAGTTCAAAAAACAAAAATCGGATTAAAGGATTCGGATAAAGAAGATCATAAAAAATAATTTTCAGAATTTTCACGCTAACGTTCCTTGAAATTTAAACATTGGTAAAATAATTGCTTCTTGTTTTGGCAACTTTTCACGTGGATTTCGGAGCATCCTGTATTAGTAATAGTTTTTATCTTGCTTGTGAAAGCCAATATAATTCAATAATAAGGTACTTGAACGGCATTCCCTAAATTTTTTAAGCACTTAAAACAATTTAAAAATACTGGATGACTATTCGAAAACCTCTTTAATGATAATATAAGTATATTTCTTGAAATACTTCATTTGTATAACGTGTGTGTCTTGAATCCTTACTCAACTAGAATGTCAGTGATTGGTTTTTTGTTTGTGCTTTTCCTTGCTATAAGGTACCTACTATTTTTTTAAATTGACGTATTCTTAAATTTATTATTTTGATTTATTTTCCTGACTGCGTGTACTTGTTATGATATTCCTAACTTTCCTGGGTCTAAGTCAAAGTGTGATGTAAAAATTTTGAAACATCGTTTATGTGATTACGTTTCGGCGAGACAACAGCGCCATCATCAGATTTAAAATTTACACAAACTCATGATTGGTAAAAATGAACGTTCTTTTAGGTCTTTGCCTTCTTGAAAACCTTCTTTTTGAAAAAATAATACAAGTTCGAAAATAACAATCACCGTATCGTATGAGAAAATTTAAAAAAGCAATCTTAAAAATACACTATTGACTGGAAAGTTTTTCCTTCTAGTGCTGCCGCTGAAAAACAATTTCCAGACGGGTTTAAGTTTGGAGCTGCCACTGCAGCCTATCAGATAGAAGGTGGCTGGGATGAAGATGGAAAGGGACTAAGTATTTGGGATAACTTCGTTCACGAAGCGGGTAATTTCAGCCAATAATTTCAATTGCCAAGTTATATCCTTGCTTGTGTAGGGAACATTGTAGATGATTCAACAGGAGATGTCGCATGCGATTCCTACCACAAATACCGGGAAGATGTAGCAATTTTGAAGGATTTAGGAGTGGATATTTACAGGTATAATTTAAAACAAAAGTGTTACATTTTGATGTCAGACTACTCTTTGTTGAATTTTCAGATTTTCCATAGCATGGTCAAGAATCATGCCCAATGGCACCCCAAATGAAATCAATCAGGCTGGAATTGACTACTATCTTAATTTAATCGCGGTAAGTGATTTTCTGATAAAAAAGACACTGTAGCCAGTTGGTAAAATCACTTACAGGAACTGCTCTTGCATGATATAGAGCCAATCGTTACTCTCTACCATTGGGATCTTCCACAGTATCTGGAAAATTTGGGAGGTTGGTTGAATCCACAAATCGCAGATTATTTCGGGGATTACGCCAGAGTTGTATTTGAACACTTTGGGCCTTATGTTAAATACTGGATTACTCTTAACGAACCTTTGGCAACCTGCCTCTCCGGATATGGAGGAGTACGAATATTTTGTTCAAGTTCTGTGATTAAACGAAAGACTCTAAACGAAATTTCTAGGACTCACTTGCGCCAGCAAAAGGTTTAGTTGGTGATGGAACATATCAATGCGCTTACAATACGATTAAGGCTCACGCAAAGGCATACCGGATCTACGAAAAAGAATTTAAACAGGAGCAAGGAGGAAAGGTTGCTTCAAACATTCCATCTCCAATGTTCTATTCGAAGACCGACAGCATTGAAGACATTGAAGCGCGCGAGAGAGCATTTGAATTCAATGTAAGTAGCATTAAACCATAATTTTGCGCTAAAATCTGATTTAAATGAAATTGAACGATTTAGGTGGGTTTATATGCTCATGCTATATACAGAGGAAACTGGCCTCAAATTGTAATCGACAGAGTGGCAAACAGAAGCAAATTGGAGGGATATTCCTTTTCCAGATTACCCCAGTTTACGCAAGAGGAAATTGACTATATCAATGGCACATTTGATTATTTAACCCTTAATTCGTAAGAATTTATTACAATGCGAAGGACCAGTAAATTTAACGTATGTATATTTTTAGTTACTTCAGTACAATTGTTGAACATACAGAAGAAGCGCCCATCGGCACTCCAAGCATTTACTCCGATCAATGTAATTATTTGATTATTGTTTTGGTGAAAAATTCTCCTAAAAAGACAAATTTTAGCTACACTTTCAAGTTCCGACCCTTCGTGGCCTACTAGTGCGTCTTCCTGGTTAGTCTCCGATCCACCCGGAATCAGATATTTGCTAAACTATATCCAGGAGAAATACAATCCCGGAGAAATAGTTATAACTGAAAACGGCTGGTCTACAGTTCCGGGCATCTTGAATGATGAGGACAGGGTCACTTACCTCAAGGTAAGTAATTAAAACCTGTATTTTAATTCTTTTATTTTAATAAACCTTGTAGGGCTATTTAAGCAATATTTTGGACGCTGTAGTAGAGGATGGAATCAATGTTACTGGATACACATTATGGAGTTTGCTGGATAACTTTGAGTGGAGTCAAGGATATACGTAAGTATTTTGGGCATCAAGTACACTCAGAAATCTGTACTTATGCAGAAATGATTTTAGGCAAAGATTTGGTATCGTGGATGTTGACTTTGAGAGTCCTAACAGAACCAGAACGTACAAGAGTTCTGCTGAATGGTACAAAAGGCTCATTGCAGCAAGGCAGATTGTTGATTAATTTGTACGATTCAACTGAATATACACTGATACAATGTTTGATATTTTATTTACAAAAGTTGAAACTTTGTAGTGTTTTTTTTAATTTTAACTCTCCAAAAACAGAATAGTGGTCTACAACATCTCGAGAATGCGAAACTTGCTAGTCATTACCTTGCGGGTAGAAAATTAGGAAACAAAACACTTGAGAGTTTCAAGTACATTTTAATTTATTCTGTTAAATTTCGGAAAACATAGAAGGCTTGTTAAGACGTCGAAATTTGTACATTTAATACTTATTTTCAAGTTTTTGAAGAATTAAGCATTGAACTGAACGCAAATCGTTTTACTTGTGGACTATGCAAGTAATAACATCAAAAACAATTGATGCATTTGAAGATCAACACAAGGTTTTTAAATATTTATATGTTAAATTAAATGGGCTAACATCTGACATTTCAAAAACTTCCAAATGTAACAGAGAAACATCAGCGAAGCGATCTTTTTAGAGTTTATTTATCTGCTCAATACAACTTGGAGTATTTGATATGATTTTTTCCTTTTTTAGCTTCTATCTTTTGCACATTTGAAAACAATTCGATTTCAGCGCCTAAATTGATCAGTATTTTAGATTCGTAATAATCTGTTATTGTATTACTTGTTTTCCAGACGTCGTAAATCATTTAACATTTGGTCTTTGTATATTTTTTGCCCTAGTCATTGCGTGCCTATATTTTTGTTGTTGTTAGCATATATTGCAATGCATTTTTTTAAATTAACTATCACATAAATAATAAAGTATTTATTTTAAACTACTTGACACATTCATCGACTAGGCATCTGGTTTCTATAACTTTTTGGTACCAGTAGTAAGAATCCTTCGGAGTCCTTGTTCTTTCTTCTCTATCAAAATTGACTTGAACCAAACCCAATTTTTGACTGAAAGTCATTGAAAAAATCACCCTTACCATGAAATCCACTATATTAACAAGAAAACTCTTACGTGTATCCATTGGTCCATTCGAAATTGTCTAGAAGACTCCAAACGGTGTAGCCTGTTACATTCACATTGTCTTCATAGTAAGCATCGAGCAAACTGCTAAGGTATTCCTAAAACATATAAACTAATTTATGTAGACAAAGGTACTTTTAATTTAAGTCAAATGTTTGAATCGCAAATGCATTTTCCTACACTGATATAAGTGATCCTTTCGGTATCGTCAAGTTGTCCAGTTAAATCAGCCCATCCATTCTCCGTTACGAAGACTTCGGGATGATTGTACTGATCATGTACATATTTGAGGAGTTTTCTGAAACCCCATGGAACTAAATGGACCCAAGTTACATTTGAGGGCCAGCTGGGGTCGATAAACGACCTAGTGCCTAAAATAAAGCATTTTAAATATTTAGAATGTTAAAGTATTAATTTATTTTTTGAAGAACTTTTGTTTTTCGACTTTTTTTTATCACAATTACTCTTGGAAATAGAGTACTAGGTAGTTTCTGATTTCTGGACTTTTGAGTTCAAATTATTTTAATGCATGTTCTAATACAAATACGCTGAAACTCTTAATTTCTCAAACCGAGAAATAACAAAAAAAAATAAAAAAAGCATTTAAGCAAATGGAACATCACAAAGCATTTTAAGAGAAAATCGAAGCATTTGAAAGTATTAAGATAAGGATATACTAAGAAGAGGCGGAAATGCTCATAACTAAAGTTGATACTTGAGAAAGTTTAGGTTCAGTTAATACTTAAGAAAGGAATAACATGTAAGAAATAACTAAAAAAACGTATACACTTTAAATATATGTACCAGAGGTCTAAATCGAACCAAATTTTATTTAGAGCGAGAATTAAATGTTGAAAGCTCCTAAGAAAAACATGCGCGCTTTATTACACAAGATAATGCATACACAAAAAATGCCAATTTAAGAAATGAGCTCTATGCCTTACTGATAGTGATGATAGAAGTGATGACCAGCTACTTTTTACTTTTTCCATTTTTTCCTGCAATATACCTACTTTTAAGAGCAAATCACTTTCACCAATATTCGGAAAATTTGTTTTATAATAAGCAACTGAGCATTACACTCACCCTTATCTAAAGCATAACTTGGTTCTCCAATACTTTCATTAACGGTGTTTGCCGAAGTGAAATAATTTGTTGAGTAGCTGTAAAATTATCTAATGAAATATTGAAATATGATAACTTATTTCAGTTAACTGCAGCACAGAGTGTCCGGAAAGTCAGCTGAAATAGTGCAAAAAGTTTAAATAATATCGCTCATGTAAAAAAAGTTGAATGCGGAATGTCCAGAATGATACTTTTTTAAATATTTGGCTTGACCAAACACTCTGTAATTCGAAGAATTCAACTTACGTATTTATGCAAAAGAAATCCGATGTGCCGTTAATAAAATGAATTTCTTCTTCAGTCAGTTCAGGCAATCTGGATCGGTTTAAACCTTCTAAGGCACTTCTTTGCCCAACATTTTTGATCACAACCTCAGGCCAATTTCCCAAATAAATTGGGTTGGCGTAAATACCTAACTAGAGACACTTATGGAATATATTTCATAGCCTTAGATAAAGTGTGAAAATTTGATTTTAGACTAAATTTGTTACAAATAAGATGCATCTAACGCATGTAGTTTGGAAAAAAACATTCACAAAAAAATTACCACAAATTCTCTTTCGGTTTGTGCGGCTGCTAAATCCGATTCATCATCCGTAGCTGGCTCTGGCCATCCAGCGTCGAGTACAATAGAGATTCTGCCTGGATTAATTGGAATTTGGAACGTTTGCTAAGTTTTGTTTGTAATTTCGCATACCGTTTTGGGCTGGCCTGAACTCTTTGTCGTAAATATGGAAAGCTTTAGCATGAGCCAAAACATGAACATATGCGCATTGATAAAGTCCTTCGCCGATATGCGTGTATCCCGGAGCTTTTGTACCTTCAGCATACCTAAAATACTTCTACTATGATAGATGATGATGATATTGTAGTTGATCATTTTTGGTTCTCCATCTTGACCCATAGAACAAATTGTGGAAAATTCACTGAAATAGCTTGTTCTTACCCGCCTAGACATGTCGATTGTGGTTCATTCAATGTAATCCAACTTTTCACATACTCTCCAAACTTTTCGAAGCAGAGTCGAGCGTAATCAGCAAAATAGTCGGCCAGCAGTGGATTAAGCCATCCACCCATTTCATGCAGGGTGATTGGTAAGTCCCAATGGTACAGTGTAACCATCGGCTCTATGTTATTTTGACGCAATGCCTGCAATAAACCCGTTTACTATCGGTTAGCAGGAATCATGCTTTTAAATAAAAATGGTAAATTTTTGCGCAATTTCAGAAAGAAACCAAATGGAATAAAATAGCGTTAGAAAAAGAAAAAAAGATGACCAAATTAAACAGGAAGCCACCAAAAATGAATTTAATATAGAAAATCTTGCATTGATTTTGTCATTAAAAATAAGTAAAACTCCAACCAAACAAGCATTATACTGAATCCCGGGTTTGAATTTTCAATAGCTGATATCTTCGTAGCTTCCACTTCATTTCCTTTTTTTTATCCAAATAATACAAATGTCCCTGTACGATTGGCAATTAGTAAAGTTCATATGGCGCTTTGACCTGCAGGAGTTTACTTAATTCTATTTCCTTTAGATGAAGATCCAAGCTGGATTCAGGAGTCATAATTAATGCAGATTTATCCAGAAATTTAGAATCTTTGCTTTAACTCTGTTTCTTAAAACTGTCGTTAAGTTACCAGAGCTTTAAAAGCTCCATAGCAAAGTTCGCATTTATCACATTTCGCTTAGCGTTTCTAGTCAAGTCTCCGAATCTCATTAAAATTAAACTGGCCCTTTAAACTGAAAATAATCAGTTAAATAATAAGGTCCAGATAATATATTTTGACCCTTAACATTTAGCTCTAAGTAATTATATCTACATATTTTTACTATTTGAAATACATACTAAAGATTAAAGGGTTAAATAAAAAACCAATCAGAGCTATGTCGATCAAAAGTTGAAACTTTGTTTTAATGTGTTTTATTAATTTTTCTGTTTTTATTTGGAAAAACATTGCATCTTAAAAGTTAAAGCAAAATCAGCGCATTTTTAATGGTCAATAGGTATTTTTACTGACATCGCACTTTCCAATATTTGGACCTCTTAGTGCAAAAAATAAATATATTCGAAATCTATCAATAGCAAAGTTTTGTTTAAATCATGTGCAAGATGTTTACCCAACTGTGACTTCAAATATTGCAACCTTACATAGAGAACAAATGAATTCTTCGAACTTATTGCTCACCAATCCGATAAAATTTTCCCTACCTTGAAAAGATTTATGTAGTATTCCACGCCCTTTTCATTAATATTATTGATAGTAGCATTAGGTAAAATTCTGCTCCAAGAAATAGATAGTCGATAATGACTGGCTCCCAAGTTTTTCAGCAATTCCACATCGTCTCGCCATTTGCGATAGCTGTCGCAAGCTATATCGCCAGTAAAATTATGCTTGATCCTTTCTGGATAGGTATGTGTATACCAGTCCCACAGGTTCACCTAAACCAACAGCTTTTAGAGGATTTATACATATTTTTAGTACTTCACTCACTCCTTTGCCATCTTCATTCCATGCTCCCTCAATTTGATAGGCAGCAGTGGCGGCTCCCAATTTAAAATTTGGCGGAAAATACCGATTATTGAAGGTGAAATTTGGGGACCCAAATGTTACACTGAAAACTGCAAGAAAGATCAATATAGTTAAATGTTTGGCCATTTTTGATGCAAACGACCAAATGAAAATTTCCTGGGAAGCAGAAACTATGAGAAATATAATGATTTAATCAAAACTTCACGTATTTTGATTTGATATGTAATTATCTGCTCAAGTGTTTATTTAATGCTTTAATTCTTTCAAATCATTTAAAATATTGACTTAACAATTTAAATCACAAGTGTTCAATGTTACATATACTGGTGGTCTGACAAAATCCAGCATACATATGCATCACAAAAAGTCTTCTAAATACTCGTATCAATTATTTATTTTTTCTATTCCGCATAACTAGCTTTGTATGAATTTTTATTATTAGCTCTGAAAGTAACCTTATCTAGCCACTTTCCAGATAATTGATGAAAAATGTTTATCATATTACGCTACACATACCAGCATTTTTATTACTTGAAGACTTAATATAAGATTTTAATTATTTTCGAATAAAACCACTTCGTACAGTTGTTTATTATTTAGTTAATATAGTTATCTTATAGATATAGCGAATTCTTGCATTAAAATTAATCGCTCCACTCAAATCCGTTTATATAAAGTGATTGCGTTTAAACCTTCGGTGGTCAATAGTATTTTGAAAAATGTTGAAACTCTTGATCTCATCATTTTGCGTTTTCTTCTGCTTCAGGTAACTTGTGGCTAATGATATCTAGAGCAGAATAAGATTACTTATTATTTTTCAGCGCTTCAGCTGATGAAGTAATTATTAACACGAAGCCGTTGCCAGAAGGCTTCACTTTGGGTGTTGCAACAGCTGCTTTTCAAATTGAAGGTGCATGGGATGAAGGCGGAAAAGGTGAACAAGTATGGGATTGGTAAGTTGTTAACTACACATTATTATTAAATTAAAAAATAACTAAATAATAAATGCAGCATATAATTTAATTGAATACTTTTAATGATGGTAAAGTAATATGGAAAAATATAGTTTTAACGATCTAATTTAGAAGAAAAAACATGAATTCAGATTGGGTAGTTTATCGTGCTCAGGTTAACCTTTTGCAACTTAAGAATCCGTAATATTTGCAGAAATGCCTAAGTAAAAGCGGTTGACTTAATGTTAGTAAAAATAATGCCTATTTGCAAAGGCAAAAGCAGATCTAGTTGATGTTATCTTATCTATTAATTGACAATTGGAAAAACATATTTAAAAAACTTAGAACTTTGCTGAACAAAGTATCTAAGGTACAATGATGATTTTTGGCCCAATTTAATTAACAATAAAATACATTTTAACGCACCTACTGAAAGTTAAAATATTTAGCCACTTGTAAAAAATTGAAATGTAATTTTTCGATAAAAAATTAACACGTTAATAAATTACAATGACTTAGAGCATAATCCAACTGGCTTTTTCAATGTTTCTTACAGGTTTATGCACACATATCCAGAGAAAATCGAAAACGGCGCCAATGGAGATGTAGCGTGCGATTCCTACCATAAATGGGAAGAAGACGTGCAACTTTTAAAGGATTTGGGAGTTAATCATTATAGACTCTCAATTTCCTGGGCCAGAATTTTGCCTGATGGTTTAGCCAATAATTATACAATTAATCAGGAGGGAGTTCAATACTACCGAAAGTTATTTGAGGTAAGCGAAGTAGAAACATAAATTTGTAACGTGAATGTTTTCAATAAGCTAAGGAGCTTATGAACATTTTTTTCTAAATTTTATTGCACTTGGTTTATGCTATGTATTTTTACATTGTTTCAAATTATTAATATGTATAATTAATAAGCCATTCTCCTTAAAAATATAATCCCTTTTTAACTTCGGAATTTTTAAATTTTTACTAATTTGTTTTAAGGCAAAAAGACAATTTTAAGTCAATAAGTGCTTGTGTTTTATTACTCTTATTTACTTTATTACTCTCTTAGTAACTTTATTTTCAGGAAAATTGCAAATATCACATAATTATATCAGAATTCTGCATTTTCAGTAAACTCACACAAGATTGGCTACAAAGTTTTATATATTTACCGGTTGATTTAAATACTAGAACTGGATCCTTGTATAGACCAGTGCGCTAGTTTTAAATTATATTTATAAATACTTGAAAAAAATATATGAAAATAAATGCGATCGCAAATAATTATAAAACGAAGGTACAATTCATATAGATATAATTATCACATAACCAAAGCACATACCGAGTACAGAACCATTTAAAATGTTCATAAATATTCGTATTTGTTGTTGCACTTTTTATGTTGTTTTGATTATTATAAAATATGCGGAAGAAATTCCTATTTCTTCCAAAATTGATTGAACAAAATCTTTCTTTTTTCAACGGTATAAGTTGAATTGTTTAGAATTGAATGTTGATTATATACATACAATAACACTAAATATCTATACTTGACGAAGTTAAAAGCAGAATGTTGAATATTTCGATCTGCATACATTCTGCAACATTTAAGGAATTCACCTCAATTACTCATTTCCTGTTGATTTCTTCAGCTATAAACGGGTTTCTTCCCAGAAAATTAAATAGTTCAATTCGATATACGAATGAAGAAAGTTCAAAAAGTTTAAATAGTCAAAGCTTTTAATAATTTGAAAATATAAATAATACATATAAATTGTAAAGTATTTTTATTTGCAGAAGAAAATTAGTGTGATTCGATACCAGTGATAATATTAAAAAAATAATTAAAAGTAAAACATGAAAATGTACACCGAATCGATATCTACTTTCTATTGTGTATTTTTAGAAGACACTTCTATTCACATGGATATTTAATTCTGAAAATCGCGTTGTTGATAAATGAATGCATCTTTGTTCTAAAATTAAATTAAGAACATAACAGTTACCCAAAATAAAAAAATTGCTCTAATTTTTATTGAGTTAGTAATTACTTAATAATAATATAATCTAATAAGAACAATCTCCAAATCTAATATTCTAGGCTCTACTTGAGAATGGTATAACCCCATACGTTACCATGTACCATTGGGACCTGCCTATTCCTCTGCAGGAGTTAGGAGGGTGGCTTAACCCAATTATTGCAGACCACTTTGCTAATTATGCTCGTATTTGCTATCAACTATATGGGGATATTATTAAGAATTGGATTACTTTGAATGAACCACATACATATTGCGTTTTGGGGTGAGCTAATACTTTTAATACTCATTAAGTTTAGAGGAAATATATTTATTCGAGCTTTTATGAGATTTTGAAGTTGTAGAACAGTAATCATAAGTAAAGGTCTTACATTTTGTAAACAAATTTTATATAAATTGAAGAGCCGTTTTTGCCTACCTATGCCGGGGTGTTATTTATTATGTTAAATTAGAAATTCAGAGTCAAAAGCTTAAGAAAATACATAAATCTGTTGATGTTTGTTATAGCTATGGATCAGGATATCATGCACCAGGTTACGTGCTTCCTGCCACAGGAATTTACCAATGCGCCTATACTAGTGTTTTAGCACACGCCAAAGCCTATCACATCTACAATGATGAGTTTCGAGCTGATCAGCAAGGCATGTGTTTCAAATTTTTAGCTGAAACTCAAAAAAAATAATTAATATTTTAGGAAGAGTTACAATTGTCATTGATAGCTCTTGGATGGAACCTATTACCGATACGGAAAAGAATGTAGAAGCAGTTCAAAGAATGTTCGATTTTTCTGTAAGTAGAACTGTAATTTAACTGATTTTGATTGAAGAAATATATCTCTTGCGTTCTTTTGCTGCAAAGCTGGATATTACAGTAATGCATTATACTTTTTTAAAGTTTGATAAGAATTGGTTGCTTAGGTAGGATTATATGCCCACCCCATTTACGTTGGTAACTGGCCTGAACGTGTTATAAATATAGTGGATGCTAGAAGCACATTGGAAGGATATTCTTCATCCAGATTACCGTCATTTACAGACGAAGAGATCGAATATATTAAGGGCACATTTGACTTTTTCTGTCTGAATTCGTAAGTTGAACAAAAGCCAGTAAAAACATTGAGTTTTAGATTTAAAAATATTTACTTTAAGTGCATTAGACACAGTTAAGAAAAAATACTTCTCTTCTTAATCTTACATTTGGCTCTTTTAGAAATACTCTTCAAATAATGGTCGTTTGCTCAAAGTTTCCAACTTTTTCCTAATCTGTTATCTTATATTTTTAATACGCTCGTTTGTTGTCTAATTTATATTTTTCGTCTTCTCTATAAGCGGCGACATAATGTTGTCTTGACAATAAAATATTTGCAAAAACTAACTAAACTAACTATTGTATCATATTAAGAAATTCACATTAAAGTTAAACTCTCTAAACGCTGAAAGGGCAGGTACATAAACGTTTTCTAAATTGCATTTATTGTTCATAATATATATATATATATAACTTGAACATTGTGTCTGAAGTTGAACATATTGTGCTGGTTTACCACACACTTCGATTCAAATTTGAGCTTCTTGTGAAACGTTTCTTCTGCTTATTAGTCTTCAGATCTGATCGCTTCGAAAATTTTAACTAGATTGCCATGTTTTGAGAACTTTTATAAAGTCACCAGTTTCTCTTATGATATATAAATTCACAACTTATGCTTTCATTTAGTTTGTATGCCGCAAATAAAAACCGGAGTACATTACACATAAACCTAATAGAAAATAGTATAATATTGTTATTTTGCATATATAACTTTCAAATCCGTTTTAGGTATTCAACTTATTTAATAGAACATATAAATAATTGGGATGAAATGATAGATCCCAACGGCGCTTCATTCGATTTAGATGCAGGTAAGTAATCTTGTTGCATTTTCCGTAGTTTTYATCGGACCAAMATTTTTATTCTCCAAGATAAATGTCTATACTCGTACGTTCATTAAATTTTTTAACATTTTAAGAACATTGTCATTTATGGCAAAATAATAATAGTWGRTTAACAATTTTTATAGAACCCTGCTATATAAGCCGGAAAGCTCCTGATGAGTTAAMGTTTGGCACTTCTTAAAGGGGTTCCTTAGAACAGTAGTTACAATAAACAAATTTCCAGGTGTTTCCTATTCTTTCGACCCATCTTGGCCATCAGACGTGAATTGGGTCAGCAGAGTACCACAAGGCTTCAGAAAAATATTGAACTATGTTTACAACACATTCGGCCAGCCAGAAATTGTTGTGACAGAAAATGGATGGGCTCAAAACCTTACCACTGTAGGGCTAGACGATCAAGATAGAATTACATATCTCAAAGTAAGAATTATGAAAAATTATATTAGAATATAATTTAATTATTGGAAAAAAAAAACGCCTATAGTCATGGCCGGATTAACTTGTGGTAGTGCCCAGGGCTGCGATCCCTGCAGAGGCCCCTTTCTAAAAAAAGAAGGAAAAGCCGCAATATTGATCTTACTGAAGCCCCCGACATCGTGAGTCGAGGGGCCACCCTTGGAAACATTTCGACCCAAAATCAAAATTTCACATGCGTGTTTTTTGAGCTTAATCGATTCCTTTCGAAGTAAGAAAGTCACAAATGTGSAGTTATAAAGTCTTTGGGTCAATAATAAGGAATAAATMGTCGGTTAAAGATCGTGAACGCTAAAAAAACGCTTTAAATGTGCCGAAAATGTCTATTATTTCGGATCTGAAACTTCTTGCATGAGTTTAACTTCTTCTTCAATGAGTTCGATTCATTAATCGCGTCCGTGATCTGATAATGATGTAAAATTTAAGACATTTGAGAAAATTTTCATTTTTTCAAATAGTTGAGCCCCTTGTAAAAATTAAAAAAAATAAAAACGTCACAAATGTGCATTTGTAAGGTTTTTGCATCAATAATAAGGAAGAAATCGTCGGTTAAAGATCGTGAACGCTTAAAAAACCCTTTAAATGTGCATATCTGAAACTTGTGGCATATAATTCAATGAGTTCGATGCATTCCTCRYGTCCGYGAKCTGAAAATGATGWAAAATTTGAGACATTTTTAAGTTAAGTAAGGTTAATAAAAAATAATTTTCTAACTTTCAGCAATATCTAAGCGCTCTTCTTGATGCCGTTTACGAAGACGGAGTAAACGTAACCGGCTACACTGCATGGAGTATCCTGGATAACTTAGAGTGGGCGCATGGATATGAGTAAGTGATTATTACTAAACATTTGTTTGGATATTTTCCTAAATAATTGTTTGAACAACACGTTTATATAACTGTTTGCATTTTAGGCAAAAACTAGGTTTGGTAGAGGTAGATTTCAGCAGTCCGGAAAGGACTAGAACGCCCAGAGCTTCGTACTATTGGTATCAAACGGTTACTCGTAACAGATGTTTAGTGGAAAACTGCGGCCAGATATAAAATCGTCTTATGATTAATATCCCTTTTTCAATTGTATTCAATATGCGGTCATTTGGGCACTTTTTGTTCAAAATCCCGTTAAGATCAGTTGAGTTGGCAAGAGTGTTTAAATTAAATAAAACTACATGTTTCTCTCTTGCACAGTTAATAGATTAAGAATTCGATGTTAAAAAGTCTCTGACAACAATGGCTCAACAAATTAAAACACAAGGTATTTCTAAGTTTTTTTTTTGTTATGATTCAATGCTAATGGAAACTTTGGTATGTCTTTACTTAATGTACACTTAATTATGTCCTATTTTGCAAGACATTAACTAATAAAATAAACCGATTTTAGCAGTTTCAATATTAAATTAACATGCCTCATTTTTATTTCCTGTCTCCAAACCCTTCTTCCCGAAAATATTTAAGGTTGGTTCATTACTTTTAATAATGTTGAAGTCGGAATTACTACAGTAACATTTTCTCGATTAAAACTCATTTATTATTATATTTCTGTTCGTGCAATTCCTTTATTTCCTACTCTTTCTTCCTTTCTTCCTGTCGGTCATCAAGCAAAATTAATCAAACTTTTTGTACTTAGACAGAGGCAACTATCAAGGGATCTTTTATGTACGTTAATGATCAGCTACATTTCGAGATAAGAACATCTCAGCTTAATAAAAAAATTTTGATTACTTTACAAAAACACTTGAAAGCAGATTGCGTCAGATCATGGCAAGTAAAGTAGATATGAAACAAACATGATCTAATTGGTGATAAAGTTTAGATGGCGATGTACTCAAGAACAGTAATTTTTAGTTGTTTCCAAATTAATGTTAAGATGATGAAAATACTGGGAATTATCTGGTGCACATTTGTCCTGGGGTAAACATATCTGAAAACTCGAAAGTTTTCAAATCTGAATGCCTGGAACTCACTTTATAGATATACTGTGGCAACAGATTCGCCCAGCAATAGGTTTTTTCCCGAAGATTTTTCATTGGGAGTAGCAACTGCAGCGTTTCAAATAGAAGGGGCATGGAATGAGAGCGGAAAAGGCGAACAATTATGGGACTGGTAAAGAAAGTTTCCAATTCCTGTTGTTGAAACCACTTTGAAAGTTTCTGCCACAGGTGGATGCACACATATCCAGATAAAACTCTCAATCGTGATTCTGGAGATGTGGCTTGTGACTCGTACCATAAATGGAATGAAGATTTGGAATTGTTAAAAGTTCTCGGTGTTAACCACTACAGATTGTCTATTTCTTGGAGTAGGATTTTACCTAATGGATGGGCAAACATCAATACAATTAATGAGGAAGGAGTGAAATATTATAGAAATTTGTTAGAGGTGAGAATAAGTCTTTTGCCAATACATATATCATTTTGGAAGCTTAATTTGTTACTCCTAGAAATAATATTAAAGTGCATTTGTTCTACATATATGTTGTATATATATTAAATGTGCAAGTTTATGCTTCAGTTTTAAGTGTTTTGTGCTTGTGGACACCAGAAATTTCAGTACATTTGTTTTGCTCTTCAATGCATTTTTCGTTTTCTGTTTCTCAACAGTATCTTATTTTCTCAATCTTAATTTTATTTGAAATATAATTGTTCAGATCTGTTTGCAATAATCTGAAATATTTCTTAGGCGTTAATCGAAGCAGGTATCACCCCATACGTAACATTGTACCATTGGGACTTACCGATTACTCTTCATCAGTTTGGAGGTTGGCAAAATCCCATCATAGCTGATCATTTTGCGGCTTATGCCCGTATTTGCTTCGAATTATTTGGAGATATTGTCAAAAATTGGATTACATTGAATGAGCCACATTCATATTGTTTCTTAGGGTAAGTTTGCTTAGAAAAAGAAAATGAATATTTAGAAGGTGTATTTTATTATTTCTTTATTGAAAGAAGCTAACATTTATATTGTTGATTTTTGCATGTGCAAGCTTTTGAGAAGAGGGAATTATTACATTGGATTTAAAGCCAAATTCGCGATATCCTTTCACTTCTATGCTGTACTTTCACCAATAAAATAATTTCGACGAGAAAAAAAAATAAAATTATTTCTCCTCATGGAGAAGTCCCACAATATTAAGCAATAATATAATTATTTTAGTTACGGAACTGGATATCATGCACCTGGGTACGCACTTCCTAGTGAAGGCGTTTACAAATGTGCCTACACTAGTGTTTTAGCTCATGCTAAAGCCTGGCATATTTATGACGAGGAATTCAGAGCCACACAAAAAGGTACTAAATATTGTAAAAATCAAATTATATATAGAGTTATAATGCCATACATTTTACAGTTTCCAATTCGTAATTATTGGCTGTGTCTTTGAGATCTTGGCTGGATTGGAAAATTGTCAGATTGCAGCATACATTTGCAATTTCATGAATATTTGATATTAAAAACTTGTTTAAGCTCTTTATTTTTAACGATTTTCTTTGCAAATTATATATAAAATGTATTATTAAGTCATGATTATCCGTTTAGCTCAAACATGCCCCTGAATTTAAAGTGGTTAAGCCTGTGAATGATTAATAAATTACTCTTTATTTAACTGAAAACTTGATGTAAAAAATGGCTTAAAAGTAATCTGATGAGAAACTTGAGAAAAAATGGAAACTTTATCGGAATTTGCGGCTAGTTTTATAGATGCACGTTGTTCATTTCACAACAGATTGTAAGAAGTGATCAGTTCTTAATTAGCATCAATTTCTGCGATTATACGTTTTCCTTTCAGATCTTCTTCAATTCTTCTGCTCTGCAGGATTATTTTATGTGTTTTAGGTCGAGTATCTATAGTAATTGATAGCCCCTGGTTTGAACCCCTGACAGATACTGAACAAGATAGAGAAGCAGTTCAAAGAGAGCTGAATTTCTTTGTAAGCGTCAATGTAGTTATTATTAATTTCATTATTTATTTGCATTTTATGCCAGTTTGGTTTGTATGCTAACCCGATTTATAACGGAAACTGGCCAGAGCAGGTAATAAGGATAGTTGATGCCAGGAGTGAATTGGAAGGATATTCTTACTCTCGGCTGCCCAAATTCACTGAAGAAGAAATTCAGTATATTAAGGGCACATCGGATTTTTTCTCTGTTAATACGTAAGGACATGCTATAAATCTGCGAAGTTTTCAACAGTTAATCATTCCTTTAAAATTTCATTTGAATTTTTGAAACCGTAAATTCTGCATTTAAATATCTAATTCAATTACTTATTTTACTGAAGAAAATTAGGCATTCTTTTTAGGAATTTCTAGACTATTTTCTGCTGCATTTACTATTTTTAATTACATTTGCAAACTTTCCAAGTGAACATGTATACATTCTTTCAGATACTCAGCTTATCTTGCTCATCATCAGCATAGTTGGGATGAATCGATAGACCCTGATGAGGTAACTTATTATGCAGACCAAGGCAAGTTTATTATTACATCATATAAGGAAAAATATTTATATGCGATGATGATTTTAGAAATTTTAGAAATGGAAATAATAGTATTTAGTCTAAAGTTAGTGAATATGTTTTAAAGTGGAAAATTCTGACTGCAATCTGGTTCTGAAAAATTTCCAGTTTAATCCATTTCTTGATGATCACACTAGAGATTCTTCAAATATTAGCATGATTAATTGTTGGAAGAAGGCTTTCAAAACTTCCTAAGTGGATTCTATGTGGATCCTTGTCTCATGTTCATTTTTTTCCAGGAGTGGTAAATTCAGTTGACCCTGCATGGGCCTCAGATGTTGAATGGGTTCACAAGGTGCCTGCAGGCTTTCGAAAACTGCTCAATTACATCCATAACACATTTGGACAACCAGAAATAGTCGTTACAGAAAATGGTTGGGCCCAAAATGTTACAACTGCTGGAACAGCCGATCAAGATAGAATCACTTACCTTAGCGTAAGTTTGACTCAATTTCGTTGGTATCAATAGAATGTGCAAGTTGCAAGTTAAAAATGTGTAAAGTACGTTCTTAACTCGTCTAGAGTCAAGTGAAATTTCATTAGAGTAGAGGGTTTGTAGTTAAAAATACATTCTTCAGGGCGCATATTCCGGTAAATGTCTTGTAACTATCTCAGTTCTTCGGTTCTAACAATCCAATCCATTAATCGGAAGCGAAAAACCATGGTAGGTTGTTTACTGTTATAAAATATTTCTTTGGAAGATTTCCTACTAAAAAAATCGTGAAAGTTTCAAATATCCCATTTATAAAGCTAAATTAACATGTGTATTTCTAGGAGTATCTCAGCGCTCTTCTTGAAGCGATTTATGAAGACGGTGTAAACGTGTCTGCTTACACAGTCTGGAGTTTGATGGACAATCTTGAATGGGCAAACGGATATCAGTAAGCAAAAGTGAAAAATATGCGTTTTTTCATTTTAGAGTCGATTTAATTGTAGGCAGAAATTGGGACTTGTTGAAGTAGACTTTAGTGATCCAGAAAGGACCAGAACTGCAAAGGACTCATACTTTTGGTATCAGATGGTGACAAAGAACCGGTGCTTGTACAGTGATGCAAGTTTGTGTATCTAATTAAAATTTCAATTATTTGCAATAAAGCTTTCTTAGGGGGCAATTACTAAATATCTATTAACTTCCTGATTTTAGTTTTATGCTTTATGAAAGATAATCATTTCATTAACATTAATTACATTTGATGTGCTTTTATTTCCAATTAATTAGTTTTATCATATTTAATTGATCTAGAATGGTTCTTTATATAGGCAACAAAGTAAGTATATAGGAGGCTTTTAAGCACAACTGATGCTGAATTTTAATACTTGTCAAATAAATAATCAACATTGATAATTAATTTACATATTACGCAAACATTTGCATACTCACGCCAGAAACCTCAAGCGAGAGGAAACTGGTCGTATACTTAGCGTGCCATCCGTAATCGATAAATCTATTCCAAAGAATTCCACGCTAATTAAATCTGCCAATTATTACTTGTAAAATACTACTGGTTATGCGACGTGCCTAGATCTAGATGGAAAGCGTATAAGACGCAGATATACAACCAGTGGTAGAAATAGAATAAGACCCATCTTGTTCGAGATCATTAAGAAGGAACAACAATTTACTGTGATTTGCTACCGATTGATTGATTGGCTGTTGGTAGATAAATGTAATATTCTGTGTATGTATGAAAAAGCAACATGCGTAAGTAATCAATTCAGTTATCACCATCATCATCTTGGGCTCATCAAATTTTACGTGTTTTCTTTAATTTATCTCATGAATCGTTTGTAGCAATTTGCTGGAAATGTAATTCAAAACCGTGCAGCGTTTTATGTTTTCTTTCCCAAACCAAGATTTACTAGTTTAGATAATAAGCTGTTGTTT